TAATTCAAACACAAACCTCAAAAACAACACAAAAATAGGTCACTGAGCACAAAACCAAGCTTCTGCTATGGCCATTCCAGTCCTCTGAGCTGAACCCTATAGAAAATGAGTGTGGTGAACTGAAGAGAAGAAGCACCAACATGGAGCTGGGAATCTGAAGGGTCTGGAGTGATTCTGGATGAAGGAATGGTCTCTGATCTCTTGGCAGGTGTTCTCATCAGGCATTATAGGAGAAAATTTAGAGCTGTTAAACTGGCAAATGGAGGTTTCAAAAAGTATTGAATAAAAGGGTGTCGTTAATTGTGGCCAATGTGTATTAGAGAAAAACATTTATTTCATAATGATATTTCCCCCCATTTTAAATTCTTATTATCCAATGAAAGGTTAGATTTTTGTGAATTTTTTTAATAAATGATCAAAAGGATTAACAATGCAGATTAATTTTCACAGCCTTCTTTGATCATATTTACCAAGGGTGCCGATATTTTTGGCCATGACTGTAAATTATATCATATATAAATATATTTAATATATAAACGTAGCACATTTTTCTTAAATATATACATGCATGTGTGTGTATTTATATATACATAATAAATATACACAGTACACACACATATATTATGTAAACAAAACTTTTATTTTGGATGTGATTAATCGCGATTAATTGTTTAAGAGCACTACAAAAATATATATATATTTTTCTTTAAAAAAATTATTTGGAGCATACCTAGGCAGGCTGCTGTAAGCAGGTGGTTGGGTTCTCAGCTGTACTCCATAAGAATCTCCTTTTTCTCCCTCTTTCAGTACAACATAGGGCTGCCCACCAATGCCCTGCACCCTCACTGCCACTCCATAGCGAGACGGTGGCTTTTTTGGAGGCTTTTTTGATGGCTCTTTCCGAGGCTGCCCACTCACTCCCCCTCCGGTGTCCTGCAGGTCATTTATAAAGCGAATCTGTACGCCATAGTCCACGGGGGTCTTCCTACCTGAGACAGGAGCAGTCATCCTAGAGGGGAGATAAAGAGAGACAAACAAAGAATATGTCAAAATATATATATTTTTTTCAACAGCTCAAAGCATCTAGTGACCTCAAACAGATCAAATACTCCTTATGGGTTCCAGAACTATTTTTTCTCCTTCAGTTTCAGAAAATTCTTCAATAAAAAGCTCCAACCCTTCAACCAAAGCAACCAGCTCAGAGGTGAATCACAACAGCACAAAGAAATGAAAAAGTATTTTTTTTTCTGTCACAGCCCTGAATGTCTTTTCCTTCATACTGGCCCTAACAGAAGCAATATGATGTCCTTCAGATAACACTCCACTGCACAACCTGATCTGAAGTCACTTCCCCCTCTACGGACACTGCTCTCCTCTTCTCCAAAAAAGCACTTTACTTCAACAAGACACAATGGTGAATTCCCTTTTGTTATTGTTAGATATTGTGCCAGATTTGGGGGCAGTGTCCTACTTGACTTATTTGACAATTAAACAAGCTTTTATTTATTGAGTTTTTCATGATCTTAAATTAGGGATGCACGATATTGGATTTCTGCTGATATCCGATATGCCGATATTTTTCAACTTGTTTTGGCCGATATCGATACCGATATATTTCCTTTTGTTTGGAAACAACACAAAGTCTCTCCTGTGCAGAAATTATAAGAAAAATATTTTTAATTTTGGTTACTTTTTAACAAGAACTTATTTGCTATAGTTAAATAAACAATAATAAAGGTTTTTGACAGTACATTGAAGCTTTGAAAATAACTATAAATAAAAGCAAAAGGAGTTGTAAAAATTCTGAAAATATTTTAGAGCTTATGATTTTAATGAATAAATCAGTATATATAAAATTATTCAATTTACAAGTGTCATGTTTGTGATTTTTTTTTTCATGTAAGCTATAGGCTAGTTTCTGACCTTTAAATCAAAACATACTCATTATTTTATGACATCAATTACTGCTTTTTT